AAAAAAAAAGAGAAAAGAAAAAGAAGAAGAAGAATAGATTAGAAGGGAGAAATAAGGACTAGTGGTTGAATTGTGTTGAAAACTCGATCCATTGCCTCAAGGCAAAAGTGTTGACGTGTGAATTTTGGAGAGTCGAGTTTATTAAAGTCCCTAGAGGTGAATTTATTGTTTCAAACGCCTAGCTTTCAAATTTTGGCGTAATCACCTCAATTCAAGAAAATTAGCCACACATTCCCATATTACCTACCTCGGACCAAAGAGCCTAACAATTGAAAGCCACAAAGTCCCAATGATCCCAATAGCTTATTGTTCAATATTAGTTGAGTAAAATAATTTGGTGAGTATCTGGAGTCAAATATATGCATGTAAGTACAAATTCTTTCTATCTTTAACTTGCAAATATTGGATACTTGAAGCAATTGTATGATTTGTGGTTTTTGGTAATAGTGAGTGACTAAGTGCCGTTGAATGTTAGGCTTGCGAATACCTAGGAATTATCATCACAATTGCAAGTTCTGAAAACGCGAAGTTGACCAATCGATCTATGTAATGAGATGTATAGTCGTGTTTTGTGTCTTTACATTGATTTTACTTGAGGACAAGCAAAAGTTCAAGTTTGGGGGTGTGTTAAGTGTATATTTATACACTTAATTGTATCTTTTAATTGGAGCTTTTGATGTGTTTTTACGATAATTGGTGCTTAATTTGGTTATTATTTGTATTTTAGGTGCAAATTGAAGAATTGGCAACTTTTGGGGTGAAAACTGCAAATTCGGAGAAAAAGTGGGCCAAAAGTGAAAAAGCAGAATTCTGGAGTATCAAGGACCGCGCGGCCGTGCGGATTTTAGGCATAAATCTCACACGGCCGTCCGGATGGTCGTGATGGCGCAGTGAAGGAATTTTAATTACACAAGGAAACCCGCCCTATTATATTTTTGCACCCTATTTAAAGGCCACAAGCACACAATTAGGATTATCTCGGATCTTTCTACCTTTTATCTTTATTTTTAGTTTTTATCTTTCATCTTTCTACACGCAATCAAGGAGCACAAGAACGAAGACGAAGACTTGACGAATCTTCATCATAGTTCTCCTCTTTTATTGTTATTTATAGTTTTATGATTTTTCGTATTTTTATTATGTTTTTCGTAACGAACATGCGTAGCTAAGTTTTTAATCTAGGATTTTGTTGGAACCCTATGTAGGGATTGCGAACCCTTTTTCTTGAGATTATGCAATTATGATTTTATGATTATTTCTTCTACTTGTTATGATTGTTAGTGCATGAACTTGATCAATTTATGTGCTTTATCTGTGATTATTGGGATTGACTCGACAGAGCTATTTTGATAATTAGACGGTAAGTAGAAGAGCCTTCGAGTAGTTTTCACCGGATGAGTGTGTCAATTGCATGTGGTGTCGTAGACATACAGATATCACCTTAGGTAGCCATTTACGAGACTTGTTAGTTAATGCTTTATTTATAATTGGTTTGCATAGACATATAGTGAATCGTTTATGAATAATAGACTCATAATACACGCGACAGCGGGTTATGAGTAAATTAGTGTCTCGGGTTAATAATCATGAATCATATATTTCATAATTGAGGGGTTTTGGGTGAGCAATTCTTGCATAGGGGGAAGATAAAATCCTAGGTCCGTTTTAATTGATATTTTCCTGTGTTATTTGCTTTCTTTATTAGTTTAGTTGTTTAATTGATTTAATTTGACAAACTTGCGTAGGCTGGATAAAAATCATAATTGTTAGAATTTGGTACTTAGGATTAGGTAATTTGCGTATTCCCTGTGGGATCGACATCCGACTCTCACGAGTCCACTTTATTACTTGTTTGCGATACGTGCACTTGCGTGTTGGTATTTAGCACCCAACAGTCGTGTATGTCAGTGGAGACAATGTAGTGAAGTTACAGAACTACCCTCAGCGTATGATGCTTGAAAATGAAGTAGATAACAATGCAGGGTACCCTTTTGTGCATGATTTTCAAGACAGATGATTGATTATTAATGCTTCTTCATATGATTACTTTGGCCTAAATTTTGCTATGTAAATGTTCTATATACACAAAAAAAAAAAACATAATAGTAAGTCCTCAGATTTGGCTTAATTTATTACTTATAACAAATGAAATCGTTTTTTTTTTTTTCTTTTTAAATATATTTTTCGACTACTTTGTATTGCAAATCAACTTTCGGTCCCAGTATTTCAAGAACTTCTTTTATAATCAAAATAGGGTAAATTACAAACACCCACCTGAGGTATGGTCAAATTACAAAAAAACCCCTCTTGTTTGGATAATTACATCTACCCCCCTCAACTATGATTTTTTCTTACCTTTATGGTGCCAAATTCAACATAGTCATTTAGATTCCGTGAAATGTGCTCTAGTTTGTACTCTTTGTGTAAAAAATACAGTTTCCGATGCACCACAAACTGATATATACAAGCTAAAAATCACATATTATGGTCATCTTGCTTCATAATGTAGAGTTTGAATGGGATAAAACGGGTACAAAAGTGATAATATTCCATATAATCTCGAAGATTCCACTAAATTTGATGAGTTGAGGGAGGTGGTTGTAATTATCCAAACAAGAGGGGTGTTTTTGTAATTTGGTCATACCTCAGGGGGGTGTTTGTAATTTAACCCAATCAAAATATTTGCTTTCATGATGAATATCTCTTTGCGATGTGTGATTTTGTTTCGAATTTCTTAGAAATTTTAATTCAATTTGTTAAATTGGGGAACACGTGGACTTGGTTCATTGGGCTTTATATACCCAGATTCAGTGGTCCATCATAAAACAAATGTAGTGAAGTTTAAAATTGGCCTTGCTATTTTGGGCCCAAATTGTTTTTATCATCCAATAAATAAATAAAATGCCAAGAAAAAAAAGAAAAAAAAAAAAGAAAAAAGGGCACGTGACATAAGTGAGATTTTTGAACTGAAATCCCCCCACAAATATTTATAATATTTTCTTGAATTTATAATTGGTGTTGTCGTTTTGTCCCTGTAATAATAAAAAGTTTGAAAAGTATGGTAGAAAAAGTTGGAAATTTGAAGTACTAATAAAAGAAAGCAGAGAGAAAACCATACCACCTCAGTCAAAACATGTGAACCTAACATTCATCATTTTCTATTTTTTATTACAATATAATAATATTACTTTTATTTATTATTTTTTGTATTTTTCTTTTGTCATAATTTGTTTTTTAAAAGTTTCGAAATTTTCAGGTTTCTGCACAATACAGCAGTTACTTCCAATCCACATCAAACGCATAGTGAACTACTGTAGATTTTGCTGCTGCCCTCTGTTCTTTACTACATAAGGTCCCCTTCTTTTTTTTTTTAATTGTAAATCATAAACAATTTAAATAAATAAATTAAAAAAGGACTCTTAACTAAGGCCAAAATTAATCATAAGATATATTTAAGAAGAAAATAAAAACTTATATAATTTGATTTTTTTTTTTTTGTTTCTTATAATGTGGAAGCATTGGTCAAAATGCACATTAATTTGACTATAAAAATCAATATCACTATCATAATAATAAATAAGTAAGGAAAATGAAGTATGGTCAAACATTATAAATTTGACTTTTTGAGAGAAGAATGGGCGACCCGACCCGACCCATAAGTGGGAACACTCCATGTGAACATACTCCCAAATTCACCCCCATGCACTAATCATTTAAATATGGCCTACCCTTAGAAAGAATGTTTTGGACTTATCCTTCGTGCCCTTATTATTCTTTCCAATTTATTTAATTATTTAATTTAATTGCTCCTTAAACAAATTTAATCTAATTTTAAATAAAATATGGTGGGGGTAGGGGTGAAAATGGGAAAGAGATTAACCTAGGACTTTGAGCCTAAATAGGGGAATATAATAATTTTTTTTTTTTTTTTTGAGAAAATTCAAGTCAATTACAAGGGAAAGTAGGGGAGGGGGGACTCGAACCCTAGACCGTTACCCTATTGGTAAAGGCTAGGTACCAACTCTCCTAATGAGGGTTGGTGGGGAATATAATAATTAAGTGAGTGGATATGGTTATTAATTTGTGGGATTAAGTGACAGTCAAGAAGCATAATCTAGGGTTTTGTGCATCATTAATAGAAAATATAAATGATGCTTAATGGACTAGTACATACAATGAACTATGATAGTATTTGTTTTAATACAATTCATAATCATAATTAAGAATAATGGGAGAAAATATAGTATTAAAAAAAAAAAAAAGAGAGGATAAATTATTGAAAGTCACGTGACTATGCACGTGCGGGTCGTCATCAAATGTGTCTTATTGCAACAGGGGAATTCTTGTATTGGGTTGTGTGATCACATGGGCTTAACTTTATGTTTAATGAAAAATCATGGGGCATAAAAAGTATAAATTGCAGCTAATTAACACCCAAACAATAGGATTACTTTCCACTCAATCATCATCACTGCTAATTAAATAAATGATTAATTATAATTTTCTTGGATTTCGGATTGCCTTATATTTATTTTATTTTGTTTCTAATTTTTCTTTAGCTTTTCAATATTTTGTAATTAAAAAAAATTATAATAATGTACATAGTTTTCTTGTATGTAAATTTAAGAATTTCAAATTTGGTGTTTTATTTATATATAGTATAAAAAAAAGATAATCATCATATAAATAAATTTAAACCACTTTCTAAACCTTTTTTTTAAGTTACAAAAGCAACAAATGGAGAGAGAGGAGAGGTATTGACCAATTACAACAGTAGTGGACTCCTCGAACACCGCGCCATGCACCTCAAAATCATACCAACTGCTATTTATATTTATATTAAATTTTTTTTTATGGGTATAAAATATACACTTTTGTTATATTTACATTCTTTTAATGTAATAATTAAATATCTAATACTAATAGAATTAATTTACTTTTCATTAAAAAAAAATAATTTTATTAATTAGGGGGGGGGGGGGTAAGGGTAAGGTGGCCTGTATTACCAATGGGGAGAAGCACATTATAGAATTCAGTAATCCAAATTTCCTGAATTTCCTGTCACACACACTTCATTCATTCACTCACATAATTGAGGGGCATTTATGGAAGGTGCACATTTATTATTTACTACCCAATCTTTGACTGATTTCTTTATTACTATCATATTTTACTTTTATTTTCAGAGAATAGTAAATTAATTTGTGAATAACTACTGCTAAAATCCACCTGCTATATTTATTTATTGTTAAATTAAACATTGAGTCCAAGTAAAATAAGAGTGATTAATGAGGGGCATAATTGTCTAAAGAGACAGAAATGTATTGTGGCAACAAATTCAGGTCTGGCAAAGCAATTAAATCAAATTGTACTATAGTATAATACACAGCAATGCATTATTACTTACTTCTGAAATAAGTAAAAAAGAATCAGAAATCCCAACTGCTACAACACATTTATCGAAAAATCTTTCTCAGTTCTGTGACTCTATAAGCAATCATTTACCCTTTTCTTCCTTTTTTTGTACATTATATTTAGCCTCTCTTTTTCTTTTTTCTTTTTCAATTTTTTTTAAAATACTTATGCCATTTTTTAATTTGTGAAATTAAAAAAAAAATTGTGAAAAGTAATCTGCCTTGGAAAATAAATTTCTATTTAATTGTAATAATACTTGTCACTACAGCTTGCTTAGTTGTGATAATAATTGTCAAAGACAATACTCTAAAGTCTAAACTCTAAACCGACCCATTAATTACATGTCACAAAATCCTTGAATTTTCTCTTTTGATTGAATTGAATTGAATTGAATGTGATGGAAATTCAATTTGGGGAAATTAATTTAGAGAACAGGCTTAATTCGAAGATGTACATTTGCAACTTCATTTATTGTTATTTATTGTCCACAGAGTACAATATAGTTCAAAATTACTCCATAGATTTTCTATCATTACTTGTATCTTTTACATTTTATGTTTAATGGGCATTTTTTTAAAATAAAAATATAGTAATCGGATACAATTTCAATAACCCACTACCAATTAAATTATTAATAAAAAAGGGGGAGAAAAAAAAAAGAAAAAAGAAGAAAAGAGAGTATTTAAAACATGGTTGGTAGGGACTTGATTGACCAAACAAAAATTTGTTTAGCCCAAAAAAGGGAAAAATGAAAATGAAATGAATCACTGAGTCAACAAATCGGTAGAAAATCGCCAATTTATATTACATTTACACACACACACACACACATACTCTCTCTCAGATATATACATACAGTATTAGATTAGCGGAACTGTGTCCTCAAAAGAGCTTTGGCTTCTTCTCTGGCTAGCTCCCTTTCTCTCTCTAGACTTCTGTTCAACATTTTGTTTGTGCGTGTCTCTCTGTGTGTGAGGGAGAACTTAGAGAGAGAATTTAGAGAGAGAGAGGATCTTATGGAGTACGAAAGGATACACAAAGTTCAGGTAATGTGATTTAAATTTATCACAGCATTTTTTTTTGTTACTTTTTCTCACACACACAATTACACAAATACATGCATTTGTCTTTTCACTTTCTCAGAGATGTTGTTCTATCTCGATTTATGCGTCTCTGAAAATGAATTATTGAAATATTTTTGTTCTCTGATCTGACCATTCTGATTTCTTTGGTTAGGTGTGCTTGATTTTCTCAATTTGTTATATAATTTTTTTTTTTTTTTGTTATTGGATGAATGCAGACTGGTATGATATCTCCGAGTAAGTTGAGGATGAAGCTTATAGGTCACAATCAGAAGAAAAAAGATGGATCAAACTGTAATTCTTCTAGAACATCTCCTTCTAGGATGGACGATTCAGATTTTGTCAACAACAGCTTGTTGTCTTCCCCAAATGGAGATTTCTGCGATGAAGGTGTGATGTTTTTGCCCTAATTCACTGTTTCTGTTATTTATTGTGAGTGATGATTATTTGATTAGGGCTAATTAGTAAACCCAAACCCCCCCTCCTTTTTGCTTTCTTACTGTAACTAGGGCTAAATTGCTTCTCGGATTAGGAATTGGGGATTCTTAAAAATTCATCTGTTTCTTCTTTTCAGCAGCTTCGAATACAGAAGCTCCACCGGTTAAATCCGACAGTGCTACATCAGAGTTAAGCCAAGTTGATTCAAATTCATTACAGTCGAAGGAAAGCTTAGCAAAGGATAACGGTGAAAATGGCCGTTTTAGAATGCAGCTAGTTTCGAAGGGCGAAAGCGGCAATTCCAGTTCGGTGCACCCTGTTAGATCATCCGAAGACGAAAACCTCGATTACGACAGCACGTCGAGCTTCGAGTTCCATAAAGGGGAGAGATCACTTCACCATTCTCTTACTAGATCCTTCTCGAGACCAATGTCATCCAAGTGGAACGATGCAGAGAAGTGGATCATGAATAAGCAAAATAATGCTCCTCAATCCAATGTTTCGAAAAAGACCAATCTAGCTAACCAAGCCAGTCGCCCGCCAGCCGTCACGAATGCGGTGAGAGTTGCCCCAGAATCTACTACAACTTTGGTGAAAAGGGTCGATTTTTGTCAGCCTAATTCGCAGACAGGATTATCCAAGTTTGCTTTAATTGATTTATGCCCCGAAAGTAAGGATTTGGCTGAGGTTGACGACGAAGACTTGTCTTGCACAAAGAGCGTGACCGAAGAAACAACAGGTGATTGATTGTTTAATGCTTTGATTATACATATCCTAAATTTGCTCTGTTTTCAAGAAGGAACTTAAATAATTTTAACATCCTTAAAAAAAAAGCAGGAGTTGCTGCAATAAGATCAGTTTCAATGAGGGACATGGGAACAGAAATGACTCCAATTCCAAGCCAAGAGCCTTCTAGAAGTGTGACACCTGTAAGTGCAACAACCCCAATTAGAAGCCCAACTTCTTCGATACCTTCGACCCCTCGAAGGGGGGAGCCGGCCCCCACACCGACAGAATATTCCAACGCCGCGCCAGCTCAGCAACACACAACAGGCGAAGCTGGGAAAAGGGATCTGTCGGAGCAAGAAATGAAGCTTAAAACAAGAAGGGAGATTGTGGCACTCGGTGTGCAGCTTGGTAAGATGAGTATTGCAGCTTGGGCGAGTAAAGACGAAAAGGAAAAGGGTATTTCTGGAAGTGAAGCCGTTGATAGAGACGAACTCGAGCAGATTGAGTATGATAAACGCGCGGCTGCGTGGGAAGAAGCTGAGAAATCGAAACATGCTGCCAGGTTTTGATTTGATATCCTATATAAGCTGATGCCCTGTTTTATTATTATAAAGTATATAAACTGAATCGAATACTCTTTGCCAGGTTTAAACGAGAAGAAATAAGAATTCAAGCTTGGGAGAGTCAGCAGAAAGCAAGGCTTGAAGCTGAAATGAGGAAAATAGAGGTATTAATCTCATTCATCTCGTTTTTGAGTTTGAGCTTTTTGCATAATGATTTTAACGTAGTCTAGCTTTTCACAGGCACAAATAGAGCAAATGAGAGCGCATGCGCAAGCGAAGATGGTGAAGAAGATAGCAATGGCAAGACAAAAATCAGAGGAAAAAAGAGCAGAGGCTGAAGCTAGTAAAAACAGGCAGGCTGAGAAAACAGCAGCACAAGCCGAGTACATTCGACAAACGGGCCGAATTCCTTCCTCTCCATTTATCTGCTGTGGTTGGTCATAACTTAATATCGAAACCTCAATTAAAAGCCAGTTATGATTCTCAGCAGGATATGCAAATTATTAAGGTGGTACGCTACCATTTGGAATATAGATTTAGCTTAATCCGTGTTAAATTGTTGCTGTTAGAGTATCGATTTATATGTCTTTGTAACTATCGACAATCAAATGTTTTGCCGGGACTAGAATTAGTGAAGTTATACACATGCCTTCATTTACACCTTGTAAAGTTAGGTGTTGTGCCTGCTAAAAAAATGTGTTCAATGATGATATCAAACTTTCTTGTTGCTCTCATGTATTTTATACTTCAGACAACCTCCATTAATAGATGATTAGTAAAGACCTTAAATAATGTTTCATACTATAATGTTTTTTTTTCTTTTAATTTTTAGTCATTTTATTTTTATAAATAAATTAATTGACATGAATAATAAAGACCTCAATTTCGACAAAACCATGAAAATATATAACTATCTATTTCAAAGATAGTACCTTAGTATAGGCAATATTCTGGAATTAAGACATAAAAACAGAGGATTATCATAATTATAGAACATACTTATATATATGGGCGGTTTTAGGTTAGAAACAGAATTTTCTTGCCTAACACTTACCAGAGCTGGAAAATGATGGTTATAATATTGTACAAACGACCCCGACTTATAAACCTGTACAGGAATAAAGAAAATTGATCCGTATTTTTAAATATTATAATAAATTCGACTTAACATTAGATGATACATGTCGTTTCATTTTTTACGTTTCGATTTCAAATGTGATTTTGACCTTTTTTAGTCCTAATTTGGCAAAAGTCGAAACACGTCAACTGACTTTAACGAAGGTTCTATTGGAAGGATTTGCGTTCCCCGCGCTATTATCCGAAGACAGCAGAAAACCCGACTCGTCAATGCAGCCGCTCGAAGTAATAACTATGCATGTAGCTAGACGAGGCAAATGCCATGCTTGCATTATCGATTTCGTTACTGTTCTGCATTAGAAGAGGGATGAGGAAGTGTCTATATTAACTTCGAATAGGAAGTGGTTTTGAGGGTCAGTACTTTCTTGTTCTATAAGGGCACTCCCTGCCAGGAAATGGAGGCAAAGAAATTGAGTCGTGGGGTATGTTAGCCTGTGGTGACATTCCACCGGAGAGGAGTGGATCGAGAGCAACCCTCTTTGTGGGCCAGCCACTTTCTTGGCTGACTGAGCCCAATAAACTGTGCAGGGGCGAATTCATATTGCCCGCAACAGGTTTGATGTTTGGAGACAGTTGAGAATCGAAAGCATGTTGAATCAGGGTAGACGAGACGACAGTTCATATTGCTGATGGATTTGTAAAACGTTGTTATTAAACGAGTTTTGGTGGAGCATTTGTTGGTGAAGAAGGCTAGTGGCATGTGATTGTTGTTGTGGTGGTGGTGGTGGTGGTGGTGCCGCCTGAGGCTGGTGGCGGCTTAATGGAAGACTTTGAAGAAACTGAGGCTGATTCATCATATGCTGGTGCTGCATAATCGATGAAAGCATCTGTTAGGTGGGGTCCACCATAGCTTGGTAAACATCGTTGTTTTTTTTGCATGGCGGCGAACGGTGGTTGCTGCTGCTACTGCTGCATCCAGGGTGGTGGGACCCCCATTCCTTGTCCGAGAGATTGCATTCCTCCACCTCCACCCGAAATCATCTCCTAATACAGAGGTGCCCTCCTCCTCGGCGGGGGTGTGTGTACACCATGTTGGATAGGCTTTTCCCTGTAACAATGGCAGTAACAAATGGTCTGAAGAAATTGGAGCAACGATCAGTTCTTCTGATATCTCTTGATTCGTAATCTCGGACAATGCTGGGAATCGACAGAAAGTACAAAATGTGTAAAATGTTCGGGGTTTAGATTTCATGCCCGTGATTAAAAACTAGACTAGGAACTTAATCAAGCATATGAATGATAACGAGTCGAACATCAGTCTGTAGTCCCTATTATTGCACAATCCTATGAAGAATATTGTTCAATACAAAGATTACATAACTATAAATCACAAAAAAGAAAACGAACCAAAAAATGCCATAAATTAATAGTATGAACTTCCTAGGTTTATTACTTGCTACCCCCTTCCCCCATTTTCGTCCATAATCAAGCACAGAATCAAATTCTATATTAACCCAACCCCCAAAATTTAGCACAATTTCACAAACAGTATGTAAACTATGTATAGCTGAGAGTGCTATATATATATATATATATATATATATATATATATATATAGCTGATCTAGTGAGAGCCGCGGTTGATCATTTGCATGTACTGGTTAAGCGATTCCTGCCGCTGAAGCCTCATATCCTCGTTGAATTTCTTTATGAACGCTTCCACTCGCCGGTTCAACTCGTCCTGCCCCAGCGACGCTTCCCTCCTCAGTTTCCCCGATCCGCCGCCGTCGCTGCTACCCGGAGATGACGTGTTGGTCCGGTCGTTGAAGGTCTCTGCTTTAGTCATCGTCTTCTCCGGCTGGCGGCGGTGGTGGTGGTGGTGGTGGCCGTCGCGCTCCCACGTGTCGGATTTTCTCAGGTGCCTGGTTATCGGGACTGCACGCCCCTCCGTTATTGTCTTCCACGTGCTCTCCAGCGTGTCTTGCTTCTTCGGTTTCGAAACCCCAAGCACCGTTCTGCCACCTGGACGAATTAATTACGTATTATTTTAATTAATAATTAAATAATCGCACGCTGTTCTAATTTTATCCAACACCGAATAACAAAGATAAGATGGCAAAGTTAAGATATTTTGCTACTCGACCGTCTAGTAAGGGTATTTTAGGTATTTAATATATTTGGGCCTAGTGGAGCAGTGGCCCTGACATACCCCACTTTCTGTCAATGTTACTGGAAAGGTGATCACCTACTTGACGGTCCACCAAAAGGTACCTACTTAGGCCAATTACTTTAAACTTAAGAAAAATGCCTCGATCTGTGGGGTTCATTTAATTCCCTGGACCGGCACACACCGAATCACGCCCATCTAACACTCTAACGGTAACATTTTTTGCCAGCTACGGCGAAACCGAATCCCCACTCGCCGGTGGATTTAAAAAAATTATCTCATTAATTAATTTAAAAAGGAAAAAAGGAACAGTTATTTATACCTTCTGGACTGGTTTTCACATTCCTCCGGTGACCGAACCTCGCCGAAACCGGCGGCTTCACGGAAGGGGATTTTTCCGTTGCACCTTTGTTCTCGGCGGTCAATTTAGACTTGGCAGTAACATACTCGTTCTCCTTATTGCTCGTCGCCTCCTCGGCGCTAACAATGAACGGCGCCTGCTCGTATAATTTTGTGCTCCCCGCAATTGCATCCACGCGCTCGTACGCATCGAACCCCAATCCTTTCTCCGCATTCAGTACTCCGTAACCGACGCTGGAATCGTCCAAAACGACGCCGTTGTTGTACTTGTATTCCGGTTGAGTGGTTTTAACAGCCAGCGCCGCCGCGACCGGCTGCGGCGGCGCGAAACCCATGGTGACCAGCGCAGGCGTCAGCGAGTCTGGCGACGGCGACACGTCATCCTTCTTCGACTGGAGTTTGGAGGAAACGACGATGGTGATGACGATGCAGTTGATGACGAGGTACAGATACGGAGGCCTGAGCCACGAAACGACGCCGTTGTAGATCGAAGGTACATAAGCATGGAAATCTGTGATTGCCAGCATAATTGCAGCTGATAGAACGCTGGTGGATAGAAGCACAACCTTGAACAAAGACATGGTGTTAGCTGTTGTTCGAGATATCATCGGCGATTTTATATTTCCTCCGGTAAATTACTCGTCGGAGAATTTTACTTTCCGGCGGTTATTGGTGGAGAGAGAAAAAGATAATTTAGAGAGAGAAAGAGAGGAGTGTGGTGTGTGTCTGGTAATGAAGAGACGGTGTGGAAAGTGGGGAGCCGCGTTTATAAAGGTAGGGGGAAAATGGAATTTGATAATAGATTCGTGGGCATAATTGTAATTAAGGGGAGTAAATTTTCTCGCTGGCATAGCTTAATTCCTGTGGAGACACGTGGAATGTACACGTCAGATGCCTACGTCTATTTTGGCCCGTCATCTCTATCTAAATCACAAATTTGGAAAATTATTTGTCCAAAAATTCTATTGTAGTGCACTCCTAATATTATTTGGAGTTTGGACTAATTTAATGTATAGTGATTTTTAGATTTTGAATTGCCTATCAAAATAAATAAATAAAAAATAATACTTTTAGATTTTGAATATAAATTAATATATTTTAATATGGGTTAAAATTAAATGCACCAAACTGAACTAGGAGCGAAAATGAGACGAAACGTAAAAAATTTAGCCGTTACGAATTCTTTTGATTTTTTTCCGGAAGCAAAAAGCGAAAAACGGCTTTCGATTTCGAAAATCTCAGGATTTAAAAATATATCTCGAATTCAAAACACGTTGATTTTTTTGAAATTCCGTAATACACAACGGATATTACATATTTATAATTTCCGTTGCGTTATGGATATTTATTTTTCAGATTTCTTTATCTAATGGGATTTAAATAAATGTGACAACTGACAAGTAGTCATAAAGTGTCTAAACTTAATTAAATTAACAAGGAATATAGAAATTTGCCAATTATATTAAATTAAACAAATTAATTTTCTAAATAACACGTCAATAACATATGATTGATATACTCTTTTCATGTTCTCGTGGAGTTTAATAAGCAAAGCGCAGTTAATTAGTGGCAGCCTCCCAATCTATTATCAATCAGGTCACCGATTAGTTTAATTAATGCTAATAATTAATTAATTTGGATAATGAGGCGCTTTTTCAACGGTTATATATACTACACTACATCGTACATACATAAATATTCCGACCGTTGCATCCGGGCGCGGTTTTTGGACCCGCAACTTGCTAATGGGTCAGCACGTGACAAACAGGTCGATGCTTATGTTTCCACTCACTCGCCACCGACCCTACATTATAAATAAATTCATTAATTATTGCTTATATTGCTACTCTATTTCTTTCAATATTTATGGCCGAAAATAAATTAGAAAGATACAGTTATTGTATTTTTATCAAACAACACGACATATGGATAATATTGAATCTTCATTCTTAATGTTCTTTGCAACAATGTTCGAAAATCAAGATTTACATTCGAAACATGAAACGATACTCCTATAACGTAACAAACAGCGTCAAAACTATTATACGAGAGTGTAGATTTTACCCAGTATAACCTATATGGTTGGTTGCATGCTCCTTCGTTACCGGAAAAAAAAAAAAAAAAAAAAAAAAAAAAAGTGCCACGTTTGGTTAAAATAGGCTTCAACTTTTGAGGACAGAAAACAATTGAAAGTCGTGATAGTGATTGTGGCGAGTGTAGTTGATTGGAGAGTGTTGAACAGAAAGGCTGCTTTGTTTGGTTTGAATATTGAATCACCAAACTTTGTGGGCTGCATAAGATCAAAATCACAACCATACAGAAAGATTACGAAACATACCGACGAATTCAAATATTAAGTCCAATTATATTCGGCACCGTCCACAGCTCATCTACTAACACGACTTTTACAATTTACAAATCCTATCATCTCTTCAAAACCAAACATATAATTCCAAGGAAAAAATCCAACTTTATTATATGTTGGCTTCTTTATTTCTCTTACCAGACGATTTTTCACTTAAAAAAAATAATCTAGTTTCCCATAAGATAAGATATACAAGGAGTAAACAAGATTGAAATAAGCACCCACAATGTAAACTATCTGCATTTGTATTAAAAAAAAAAAAGAAAAAGAAAAAAGAACCCAATTATCGTACATATGAATCGAGTTTCTTGCTCTGTAACATCAAATTCATCGAAACGAGCAAGGAGTCGAGAAATAAGTGCTTACAAAGAATATTTCATTCTAAACCAATTTATTATTCCAATACACCTACAAACGTAACGCGCACACTGCTCCTCAGCAAATAGTATAGGAGGTAAGAACTCACCTGTGGCTAATTTTTCTGTGAATGACTTGTTTCCCTATAACAGAACATGAGTATATGTATATACACTCACTCATTCAGTGTTTTGTGAAGTAGCCTTGCATCAACGAGGAAAAATCATATTCTTTTCCTGATTGTAGAGAACTGGATGAAACAGACGATGCAGATTGTTTGGCAGGTCCAGGTTGTATACTTCCATTTATAGACGTATTGTTAGCTCCCCCTGCGTATGTGCTGGAACACAATTACAAAACGATTATACATCTTAGTAAAACTTTCAGCAATACACAGAAATAACACGACTAATAACTCCCTAACTACAACTTGTATTAATAATGCTTAAAAGATGAACCAATGTGTTTGCACTTGATAGACAACCCCAACGATGGGCAAGCGACAACAGAAATCATGACGGGCATCTCCGTATTCATAAATTTCAAATTTCATTTTCCAAAACAGTTAACAAATTGTGCTAATAAGTTGATTTTTATATCATAGAAGAATGAGATACGTATTAAATAAAAGCCTTCAGCATTGAAAAGTCAAATTTTCAGGTGGTCCTGCAAACTGATCCGGAAGGGTGTGGTCAGTGGAACTTCTGCTTAATAAAAAAAACATCTATTTCCTTTTCCAAAATAAATCCTCTAGCATGAAAAAGTCAAAATTGCACTTCGTTTTGTTAATTAAGAGGCTCCAGACCACTAGTCATATATGGAGTAAAGTTAAAAAAAAATAAAAAAAAATGAGCCTTTCAAGTATGATCTGTTTCTCTTCTATATACCATGGTGGAGTTGAGTAAGAAAATGAACCTTTCAAGTATGATCTGTTTTTGTTCTATATACCACGGAGAATTGAACATTTAAACAGCACCACAGAGGCGTATGCAAGATAAAGAATGTCTTGTAATTCTAGTTTACTCTCTCTATAGTACGATGCTAGTAAAGCCTACGACAAAATTGGGTTGCATACAGGCTGCAGTTCATTCTAATGACAATTGGTATCCAATAATTGAAAAAGGAAATGACATCCTAAATGTCATCTCTGTATTCCTTAAAAAAAAATAGACAAATAAGCATGCTACTGAAAAATGAATCGTTAAATATCCATCAGAGAGAATCAAGAAACGTTTTTCTCAAAGTTATCTTAAGCCGACATTAAAAAAGTGGGGCCGAAGATAGAACTTTTTCTCTCTTGATTAAAAGAAAAGATAAAATACATCTTGCGGGGTAACACTAAAGACACCACTACGTATTCATGCAATGCCAAGCAATCGTACTAAACACTTGGACAGTAAGAAGTTTGATATAGTCATATGCTTTTTATCAAAACTGGTATTCATTCACATACCTCGACATTTGAAGAGCAAAAGAATTTGCAGCTGGTTGAGTTGCCCCCATGTTCCCCATCTGTCTCAGGAGCAGAAAAAATAAACTTTTAAAGCAGACTAATAGTTTCGTATTGTCAATGACGGAGCATCAAATATCTCTATATTACCTGCATGCCAGGGAACTGGTAGCCAACATTTGGCCAACTTTGGTTCGGCAAGTTGGTTCCATTTAACCCTGGTTGTGCGTTTGCAGGAACTTTAGGAGCCCCACTAGAAGCATTGGCTGCAGCAGCCATTAGAATAGACTGCTGTTGTGCTAGCATAGCAAGTTGTTGTTGGTGAACAGAAAATGGTGAAACCATGTTGGTCTGCATTATGGATAAACACGGGATTGATGGGTTATATTACAAGACTGCTAATATCAGCAATAATAGCATAATTACAACGATAATCTTAATAGTATTATTTTACTGATACTTCCATAAACTTTTAAGTATTAACTGTCAACACTTCTCTTTTAGGGAACGGGTGGAATGAATAAATTTAAGTGGCAGAAAGGTTGTTGATGTTACTCGTTCTCAATGCATACCTTTTCAAAGAGAGACATGATATCATTTTTCACATCTGTTTGAGGTTTCCCTGACATTGAACTAGGTGTAATTGACGGTAAATCCTTAAACAGATCTTCAATTCCAGAAGCAGAGGTGCTCTTATTATCATCAACTTTAGCTGGGCTAGGCTTTTCTGCTGTTGATGACAATGCATCAGCAGCTGCAAATTGTCAAAAGTTACTTCCAGATAAATTAAGAATTCTTGATGTCTCAAGCTCAAAAGAGAGAATAAAAGGAAAGGAAAATTAACATAAGAAAAACTAGTATTGAAAATAAAGAAGAGCAATGTGGCCATACACCGAAATCCTGCCCATGTATTGTCTTCCCCAGATGCTCCAGCACCATTATCAACAGAACCATCCATAGAAAGCATATTGAAAAGATCAGTAGCATAATCAACTTTGGGGGGTGACACAGTGTCTGCAGCCATCTTCGAAGATTCAATGGGCGCAGCTGGTTGTGTTTTTTGAATCACTTCTTTAGTTGCCAGAGCTGGAACAGCCTGCTTTTTAAAAGACATGTAAGGGGCACAATTCAACTTTCACCATTTCTGGAGTAACAAAAATATATGACAAATAAATAATCGAAGCTTTCACCATACAAAACATTCACAACTGACATAAAATAGACCCGTTGAGAAATACACTATTGCAATTCATCAACATAATAAAATGAAAGAATCACGTCAACCTGGCCAATAATGAAAAACTCAAAAGACTACTATTAGTTTTCAAGAAAATTTGTACATGCTCATGCCATAATTTCAAGTTCTAACCTCAATCTTTTTGCAATACTGCATCCATCAACAAATTCCATCTTAAACAAAACATATATAGAAAATCTGATATTTTTTACAATTAGCAGTGGCTGCATGAACTATATCTTCGTTACCAGCATCATGCAGATGCAAACGAGAGAGCCGAATGATCACAATGACACATTAGAGAAACAAAAGAAAAAGAAAAAAAAAAAAAACACGAAAGCAAGGCAGCAAGTCTGCATACTTGTTCTGGTACTTTAGGGTGAACAGGAATACTAATTCTGGCAGCAGGAATATGTTCTTTCGTACTAGGTGCCGTAACACTTCTCCTCTCATCAAAAGCGTTCCTGGAATTGCGAACTTGTCCATGACCACTTCTATCATTTGGTCTTTGCAACTGGACAGGAGCTTTTTCTTCTATTCTCCTTGCAGGCAACTCGGTCTTACCATCCTTCGATATCCATCTCTTCTCATCATACCTTCACAGAATATAGATAAGACATATATCCATTTAAATGTAGGTTGCATGACAGAAGCCATAAGAATAAGAGGCTCATACTTTGCACGAATGAAATTCTCAATCCCAACTCTATCATAATTTGGCGGAAGCTCTGCCTCCCAGTAACTGTTTGCCTTCTCGTTTCCCATGGCTATGACCACAAAATGGAAGTTATAAGGGAATTTTGAATATCAAATATCAATCCAAAAGATCGAGAATTAATCCAATAAATAATAATGATCATAATAATCTTACATTGAATAAATGTAACCTGTTCAGGAAGCCATGTGTCAAGTGTAGCGGATCTGACCTGCAAAAGAATAAAACATATAAGCCATGAAACCAGAATAACCAATCAATTCTTACTAACTTCTATAAAAGAAAGAAGGTAAAGCACTATTAACAAGAAATATTAGAAATGACAGCTAATTAGTGTACAAAGTTTTTGGAATTTGCAGCAAAAAATATCACATTGAATAGAAATTGGGAAGTCCAAGCCATAGTATCAGAATAGGTTTGCACAACTCAGTTACAAAAGATTCAAGTATCTTAATACAGCTTCAAATAACATTTACACAGCATCGAACTCCAGTACCGGAAATCAACCAGTTTTGATGTGAATACGTACACCTATATCGTCGACAACTTGTATGCATTAGCCAAATAGAAAAATATAGTGTCGAAGATGTCACCTTTGTGATGTGCACTCCAAGACTTCTGTGAATCCCAGAGCATTGCATGCAGATAAATATGCCTAAGTTTACACTGGCCCATCGAGGACCCCTGAATTTAAAAACAAAACAGAAAAACACAAGCTGGTAAAGGTCAATGGAGGATTTTTATCTGAACTAGATCAATGAAAGAAATCCTCAAGCTAGTGCAGAAAAAAATAAAATGATTAGAGTACACACTTGGTTTTGCAATCAGCACATTCCCTGTTCTCTGGACGTTTAAGAAGCTCTTCCAAGATCTGAAGACACAGAAATCATTACTCTCAAGTCTCAACTCATGTTAAGAGCATGAAGGGATGATGCAACTAAACCAAGAAACTATTGCTTTTGGGGTAAAGAACACCAAATTGAAACACAAACTGTAAAGAACAAAGTAACCTAAGCACAAGCGGGAAAACAAAGAGGACTGATAAGCTGTACCAAGTGGTACTTTTATATAAAGGAAAGGCAGTTTCGAAACACTTGGTTTTTTACTTTATGTTAACGTAACACATAAACAACCACTTGATAAGAAAAAATAATGACAATATTTTGAAAAGTTATGACAAAGTCACGAACAAAATAAATTGATAGGCTAGGACTGAAGAGAGACAGGATAACTTAGAGTGACTCTGAAGCGAAAATGGGTAGTGTGACTACTATTGAATGTGCTAATTACCAAATACTCCAATAATTGGTCCATAAGATAAATATCTCGATAACATATCCCATTGAATTCTACGTCAAGTGTGTTATGAATATGCATAAAAGATCAGCAGAACGAGATGCTTCAACATGTTGGTAGAAAAGCTACATACATCTTGAAGTTGAATAATCTTCAATTTTTTCAGTTAAGTAAAATAAAAAACACTCTCTGATTAGAATGATGATATTCCCTAGGCAAAACTCAAAATATTCCTTTGCCAAATCATGAATCATAAACAATATCATCACGAGAACTAAATAAAACCTCAATAACACAAACCATTTGGATTAGGAACTAATTAATAGTGGGGATAAAAAAAAACAGATATATTGGAATAAAAGAACATCCTTTTCTCTTCCATTTTTATCTATGAATTTGGGTTATAAAATCCAGAATTTCGAATCCCTTAACACAACCACCTCCAAGTATAACAGCAGCCCCAAATCAAAACACAATTAAGAAGAAACCAAGTTAAAATGAGGATCACGTTGTCCAGGATTATAACAGGAAGATCGAATTAGCGAGAAAAATTCAACGAGAAAGCAAAGCAGGCATACCTTTCGATGCTTGGCATTGAGCTCTTTAGAAACGTTGGCCTTTCCATTCATGGTGACAATATATACAATTCGCGGCGAAAGGGCTAAAACCTAGCCACTCTTCACTTCCTCCCTGTGAAGACCGTCCAATTAGCCGATGACCGGCGCCGTGAAATTGCGTGGAGAGAGAGAGAGAGAGAGAGAGAGAGAGAGAGAGAGAGAGATTGCAACTGAAATTCGTTTTCGATTTGACCTGTATTTGTTTGCTATATTTGCTGTCTTCTCTTCTCTTCCACTTCTTCCATTTTACTTTTTATATTTTACAAATATTAAAATAAAAAATTTAAAGAATCCTCGTGTTTTTTTACTGTTTTCGACCCGGTACGTGTGAAAAGGAATTATTCGTTCACACGTGGGAAGGGTTGAATTAACATTTATTTTGTGTGGATGTGTAGGTACAGAGTTGGTCACTAATTAGTGGGTGCTGATGAAATTATTGATATTCTTTACTCTTTAGTGACAAATTCATAGTTGGCATTTCCTTTTTTTTTTTTATTTTTTTAATTTGTAGAACATCTGTTTTTAATTATGATATGATAAATAATACGCAATTAATAATATAATCAAAACACAATAATATGTATAATTCCTATCCATTATCCAGACCAAAGATAAAATTTATTAAATAGAATCAGGTGGAGAGAACATAATACTAATTAATATTAATTAATATTCCCTTCTTCCCTTAATATTTGTCACTTTTATTAGTTGCACACATATTAAGAAACACAATAAATAGATAATAACAAAAACTATAGTAAATCACTAAAATGCCCATGCCATTAATTGTTTTTTAAATAATTATATTTTAATTAATTATAAGCGAGAAAGGGTAAAATTGAAAAAATACACTTAATTATTCATTGGAATAATAAAATGTCAAATAATTTGAAATATGAAAAAATGGGAAAAGTGACAAATATTAAGGGAAGGAGGGAGTAATTAATAATTAATAGTCCATTCGTTCATAGACATGTGTCGCTTTTTACATAGGGCACAATAAATATGTTTTGATTTTAAGAAAGGGTGTTACTATTTGCAGCGGGACTTTTACTGAAATTGGCTTATTTGCAGCGGTACCTTTTTCATTTAATTTTTTTTTTTTTTCAATTTCTCTCTCCTATTCCAAACACTCTCTAGAAATTCGAATTTCGTAAAAAAATTTGAATCTCCCGTTTTCTGGAGCACGAAAACTCGAAGAAAATTCAAGTTTCCGTGCTCTGCAGAACGGGAGATTCAAACGGCTTGAATCCTCCGTTCTGCAGAGCACGGGAACTTGAATTTTCTTCGAGTTTCCGTGCTTCAGAAAACGGGAGATTCAATTTTTCGTGCTCCAGAAAACGGGACCTTCAAACTGTTTTTTGAATTTTTATTTTCGGAAAAAAAATAAAAAATATTTAGATATGAATCTCCCGTGTTGTAGAACACGGGAACTTGAATAATCTCATGTTCCCGTGTTCTACAGAACGGAGAACTCAA